CGACACCACACCCAGCTAATTTTTGTATTTTTTAGTAGAGACGGGGTTTCACCATGTTGGCCAGGATGGTCTTGATCTGTTGACCTTGTGATCAACCCGCCTCGGCCTCCCAAAGCGCAGGGATTACAGGTGTGAGCCACTGTGCCCAGCCAAGATGAGCTAATTTTCATGTAAAATATCCCAAGATGCTTAACCACATGGTTAAGGTCAACATTTAGAAATCCCATTACCCACAAGAAAGCATATTTTCTCATTGTTTCTGTTTATCTTGTTAGAAAGTTGTCATACGTAGTACACATGCTTACACTCTCAAACAAGAGATGTTATGATCGGAACACTTTTTTGGCAAGTCACTCTTGGTCAACATCTGCTTCTGCTCTCTATAATGCAGCACTGTTTTCAGAATCTGTCTCAGTGTATTGGTCTGTTTATCCCTATGTTACATTTCCTTAAGACAGTTATACTCTTTGAATTACTGTGTCATTTTAAATAACTTCTCAGTCTTCTACTGCACTATCAAACCATGCCTTGATAAGCTTCCCTTAACAGAGACTCTACCTGCTAGCCCAGCATGATCCACTAGAAAAGTAATGTGAGCTACACGCGTAGTTGAAAACATCCTAGTAGCCACATTAAAAACATTTTTAAAGGGAAAATTCATTCTATCTATTGATTTAACTCAGTATATCAAAAATAGGGTATGTCAACATATCATCAAAATAGCCAACTATTAATGAGAAATTTTACATTATCAATTCCTCCTAAGTCTTTGAAATGCGGTATGTGTTTCCATGCAGAGCCCATCTCCATTTGGACTTGTTACATTTCAAGGGCTGGATCGCCGTGTGTGACTCATGGCTACAATATCAGACATCACAGCTCTAGACTTCTAATTCCAGCTTGAGGAAGTTGCTTTAAGGTAAGAAAATAAGACTTGAATTACTGAGGGGCTTTCCTAGGCCTAAGGGGCTTGTTGGGTACACAGACTGAGAGTGAGTTCTCTCAGCTACTCATAGTGGTCTTGAATTGCTTATATCTTGGTTCTCAGCTGCATTCCAAACTTCAGAGATAACCAAACAAGAGGTTGCCAGAAAAATGAAGCATTGCCCCAGTTTTATGAGAATGAATAATTTTCTAATATCCATTGTCTTTGATAAGAAAAGTGGACTCACATTCTAAGAAGCTTTTCAAGAAACATAGATAGGTGACTTCATACCTAGCGCATACTTAATCACTTAAAAATAACTTTTTCTGGCTGTGTCTAGTGGCTCACACCTGTAATCCCAGCACTTTGGGAGGCTGAGGTGGGTGGATCACCTGAGGTCGGGAGTTTGAGACCAGCCTGGCCAAAATGGTGAAACCCTGTCTCTACTAAAAATACAAAAATGAGCTGGGCGTGGTGGCAGGCACCTGTAATCCCAGCTACTTAGGAGGCTAAGGGCACAAGAATCACTGAAACCTGGGAGGCGGAGGCTGCTGTGAGCCAAGATTGCGCCGCTGCACTCCAGCCTGCACTTGGCAACAGAGCAAGACTTGGACTCAATCAAATAAAATTAAAAAATAAAACCAATGACTTTTCAGAGTACAAGCATCAATTATCAAGATCATTCATCTCAGCCCAGATGGACTCAAACTCTTGCAGGTAGTTTGCTCTTGGACGTAACCCACGCATGCTGGATTCACAGGCACCCGCGTTTCTCCAGTGCTTCCTCTCCTTATCCCCTAGCAGATTCCACATGACCCTCTGGTACACCACAAGTCAAGCTAGATAATAACTGGTGCCCATGCTTTTGCCCCTTCCATTAGATCAAGAGTATTTCAGAGTTTGGAGCGAATGAGACTTCTTTATTTCTACATCTCCAGCAGCCAACTAGGCCTGCTGCAGGTGCTAATAAATGTTTATTGAATTTGTTAAAGAATTAATGAAGGTAAAATGCTGCTGGAATGAAAATGTAGTGGGAAAAAAACAGATGTAATGCTTTCCTCCAGGAGTAACAAAGGAGACCCCTAACAAATGCCCACCCCCTATGTCCTTATTGGACATTGGGTTGGCTGCCCTTGCTGGGCTCTGCCAGCTTTGAGAGTCTGTAAGCTTGTGGCATACAGTGGCAAACGCCCACACAGCTTAAGAGTTTCTTGCTCAGGATGACCATATAATTTATCATCCAAACCAGGACACATTTGAGGGAAATACAGCATGGAATTTACAATTGCTTCAGGTGTATAACTGCTCCAGTATAAACTGGGACTGGCTCTGGGCAAACTGGGAAGTGTGGTCACCTGCTTTTGCTCCCAGGAGCTTTCCCTGAGTGGGCAGAGTCCCCTGTGGGGAGCTCAAGTAGTGTGTTCTACCCACCTGAGTTTTGGTTACCCCAATCTTACGTCGAGGTCAACTGTTCTCTTTCAGGATATAAACTGAGGGTGTAGGGACTGTGTCCTTTTAATCCGCTCCACCTCTCTCTCTGATGTTGACTTGACACCACCAGATACACAGTAGGCTTCATGACGACCCACTGAATGGAAGAATTGGACTCCCCATCCCCATTGCATTCTCATCCACCCAAAAAATATTTGGTAAAGACTTAATTTGAACTAGTCCTCATGCCGGGCCCTGGGACAATAGACATTAGTGGGACCAACAAGGAATTTTCAATTTGTGGAGAAGACAGACTTGAAAATAAAGGAGTCTAGAATGGAGGTTGTCACAGCCAGGAGGGACGAGCAGAGGGAGAGACAGACTCTATCTGGGATAGGAAGAGGGTGGTAGAGGGGGTCATCAACAGGCACTGGTAGTTATTCTACTCAGCATCACTTCTTCTCCTGGTAACAGCACCTTGATTTTCCTTTAGGAAACTCTTCTGCCTTATCCTTTACCTGGGTGGTTCATTTGAGGCTAATCTTACACATTGGCCCCCAGGATGGATATGAGCCTCAAGCCTGGCCAGTGGGCGCAACACATATTCCTGGCCACAGGGAAAGTTTCAAGCATGGGCAGTGAATAGGGCCAATGAGTGTTGATGTTGGCATTTCTACTGGAGTGTTTAGGAAAGAGAAGCTCTCCTTCTTCGAGGAGCACTAAAGCTGGTATAATAATAGCCCAGAGATGTTCATGGTCATTTTGTCATCAACAAGAGAGCAACTCCTTGAGAATGAAGTCAACAAAGAGGGAAGCAGAGCCAAGAGATGGGAAGATCTGGTGGAATCATTTCAGGGCCTGGATCCAGCCATGCCTGAAACTGCATATTGACAGACCTCTCAATTTATTGAGCCACTGTATTCTCTTTTCATGCTTAAGCTAGTCTAGACTGGATTCTGTCACTTATAACGGGAAGACTCTTAATGGATATACCAAGTTGCACAGAGAGTGTAGTGCTAAGAGTAGGCAGTGAACAATGGCAGAGAAAGAGGCAGGGTCTTGCATGGGAGGGCGGTGGGGAGTAAGACCAAAGGCCCTGAGATGTGAAACAGCAACCCACGTTGTGATGCCCAGGGGTCAGCTCTGGGTGCCTGGTCTGCCCTGCCTTACCCGTTTGTCATATGCCATTCCATGGGGACAGTTGTTGGCTGACACAGTGAGTGTTACTGTGTCATTCAGGGAGGTAAAGGTGACCGTGATGGAGTCCTGTCCCAGCACCTTTAGCTTCATTTGCTCATTCACCTGTAGATAAAGAAACAGTACTCAGTGAATCTCTGCTTCAACGGTCCCACCCACCCTTTCCTGACCCACCACAAAGCACAAAGCCCCTATTGGCTTGGGGCTGAAGATCTATAAGAGCTTTCCAGTTCTTGCATTAGAATTTAGCTTCATGGAGAAGACAGAAAAATTCCAGGCTCCCCTTGGGGATCCGCTGAAAAAGTAACTGATGCTTCCTTATTCCTGCTCCTTTCCTTTCCAAACCAAGCATGAAACCCACTGTGAAAGAGACACAGGCGTCTGGCAGGTGAGTCAGCTTCAGTTCCAGTAAAAATGGATTGGGAATGCAGCTTGGATCAGAGCGTAACCCTTTATCCCTGAATCAGATAGATGTGTCCACTCAGGTACCAGGTCTGACTACGACTTTTGTCCTACAACAGTGGGAAGGTGACCACGTGGCAGGAAGCACCAAAAGCCCTCTGCAGATGGGGGGAAGATGTCAAAGAGTACCCAGAAGGGCCTGGGCTACACATACTCAGCCCCTTCCCTTAAAGTCACCAAATATGTCACTACTCTTTCCCTGAGGAGGAGCCAAAGATGGGTGGAAAAAGGTGCAGCTACTCTTTATCATCACTTCCAAAAGAGTGGGATTTCCTTTAAGCAGTAGAAGACTGCAACTTGGGGAGGATGAGTTGCCCTTAAAACAATTCACTCCTTACTGAGAGCTCTGTGGTCTGTGGGTGAGTCCCAGTTCTGCCTCCTGATAACAAGCCATTTAGCTTCACTGAATCTCAACTTCTTCCACATGAAATCATTGAAAGGCTATTATCAGGATCAAATGAGATAAAAATGGTGGAAATGGTTTTGTAAGCCATTGAGGCCTATGTGCAGCATGAGCAGATACTGTCAGGACAAGGTAGAGCAACTCACATTTAAGGCTGCTGAACAAATTGCATGTGCAGAGCGCAGTTTATACACAGAGACCCTTCCTGAGAGTCTCAGAGTATACAGCCCTACACTGCTGGGCTTCTCTTAGTCTTCAATGTCCCTGACCTATAATATCCCCTTACTTACAAATACCTCCAGGATGCCTCTGAACCAAAAAACAAACAAACAAACAAACAAACAAAACACTCTCTGCTTTGCTCCTTCCATTTCCTCCTACTATTCTAGTTGTTTGCCCAGGGATCTACACTTAAATTCTTTACTTTGAGTTTCTTCCTCATATCCTGCAGTCTGAAGACTGGTTCCCTCTAGCACCCTGAAAGTACTGAACTATGACTTGCTAAGTCTTTTGACATCTTCAAACTTAATCACTATCACTTAAAAGAAATCTTCCTCTCTCTTTTCCTACTTCTAGAGGATTTGAGCAGGCATCAAATCCCAGCATTGCCCCTTACCAGCTGGGCAATTTTAGACAGACTGGTTAGCTTCTCTGAGCCTGGGGACAATAATAGTAAAAGGTAAAGTAAAAGTAAAAAGTTTTATCCCATGAAATTTTCTCATCGGATGCTTAGCAAATTTCAGCAGATTTCACAGCTTAGCACAGTGCAGCTTTTATTTATTATCCTTGCTTCCTGAATTGTTTCTCTTTCTCTCCCACAACCTCCCAAGTATGGCAGCTCTACAAACCACAGACTTGTCTTCTTGAGAGTTCATTAGTCAGCCCATTATATCTTATCCATTATCCCCAATCTCTCACCTTAGGTCAGGGTCCACGTCACAGTAGCCCAGAGAGATATGGCCACTGAACCAAATAAGCATGTCTAAAACCATTTTGATCACGGATCCTCTCAGAAAATTCTGTTTCCACTCAGACACATAATCCATCATGGAGTCATCTACAATTCCCTCCTCCTTTCATCTGTAAGGCCATGCCCATGCATCATTGAGTTCTTTTATTGAAATGACCCCTTCAAAAAACATTGCCACCATTTGTAATGATGTTGGGTATGGCTAGTAACTCCCCAACTGGTCTCTCCATGAGCCCATCCATTGGTCTCTCTCCAGTCAACCAAAAATGCTAGACTGAGCATTTCAGCCCTCAGCTTAAAAATCAACCAGCTGGTTCTACTTCCAGTATAGCTGAGTCAGTGCCTGACAGGCTGCCTTCCTCATAGATAACTATAAACTTGAAAAAACAACGACCCAAAGGCTATGAAGAGTGAACAAATGCAGGCAGACTTTGAAGAGGAGTCAAAATTTAAAAGAAAGGAGCAGCACGGGATAATGCTTTTACAGCCTTAGCCTGAAGGCTGGTCAAACTCCACCATCTTTCTAGCCTGAAGAACCCAGAGGACAGAACCTGAAGCAACCACAGTCACAGGAACATGTGGAAAGAATTCCAGAAGGGTTAGTGCAAGAGAAGGAGAGGCCAGAATTCTATGTATGAACTGCCCATGTCTCTGGCTGATCCTTGAACCATCCATGAGCAGGGAAGACTCAAGACACCTTATGGTTGAAAAGAACAACAAACATAAAAACTTGAACTGAGATGTGAGCTTCTGCAAGTGAAACAAAGTTTGTGGTTTCAGTCTAACCAAGTTCATTGCCTGTTAAAACAAGAATATCAACACTCTTCAGAGAAATACATCAGAATTCAGAGACTCCACCACACACCATTCACAATGTCCACCTACAGTCCAAAATTACTGAATATGTGAAGAACCACTGACATGTGAGCTCTTCTCAAAGCAACAGATAATCAACAGAGGTCAACTCTGTCTCATAAGACCCAGACATTGAAGTTTTCAGACAAGACCTTTAAAGCACTAATTTAACTACACTAAATTAGATAAGGGAAAATGTACTTGTAAGAAATTATAAAATATGAAATCTCAGCAGAGAAATAGAGAATATAAAAGTATCTATCTGAAATTTTAAATTGTTACATTATAATAATAGTAGAATGGAGATGACAGAATAAAGTTTTTGAACTTGAAGATAGATCAAGAGAAATTATCCAATCTCAAAAGTAAAGAGAAAACAAATGTGAATAACAACAACATAAGAAAACATAGGAACCCTTGGGACAATATCAAAAAGTCTAAAATAGATAAAATTGGAGTCTCAGAAGAAAAGGAGAAAGACTGGAGTAGTTTTTTTTTTTTTTTTTTTTTTTAAGACAGAGTCTTGCACTGTCGCCTGGGTTGCGTGCACTGGCGCAATCTAGGCTCACCGCAACCGCTGCCTCCTGGGTTCAGGCAATTCTCCTGCCTCAGCCTCCCCAGTAGCTGGGACTACAGGCACGCACCACCACGCCCAGCTAATTTTTGTATTTTTTTTTAGTAGAGATGGGGTTTCACCATGTTGACCAGGATGGTCTCGATCTCTTGACCTCGTGATCCACCCGCCTCGGCCTCCCAAAGTGCTGGGATTACAGGCTTGAGCCACCGCGCCCGGCTGGTGAAACAAATTTAAATGAATTTACAGACTCAAGAAGCTCAGTAAATGGATTAAATATGAAGACAACCACACCTAGATACCTCACAGTTAAACTTAGAAAACCAAAGAAATGAGAAAATATTGCAAGCAGCTAAAGAAAAATAAAGAGTAACTTGAATAACTACAGACTTCTTATAAACTGTGGAAGACAGACACTGTGCAACAACATCTTTAAAATGCTGAAAAAAAAAAAATCATCCCAGAATCATATCCAGCAAAAATATCCTTTAATAAAGAGATTATTTTTTTCTTCGTGAAAGAAAACAGAGAATACATTGCCAGAAGATATGCACTTCAAGAATGCCAAAGGAAGTTCTTCAGGCTGAAGAGAAATGGTACCAGAGGGAAACTTGGATCTTCAGAAAGTAAGGAAGAACCCTGGAAATAGCAGCTGGGTAAAAACAAATTGGCCCCTGCAGCCTCCAAGACAGCATACAAACTCCCCAGTCTGACAACCAGTGCCTCCCGCCTCCACCTGACACCATACACACCTCTTGCTCCACCTTTCTTTCACAAGAAGCACTTGTGACCTCTTAAAAATACCACATTTAGTCCCAACTCCAACCTTTGCAGATGCTGCTCCCACTACCCAGAAGACTTTTCCCTCTTCCTCCTCTCTATGTGAATCATACACACTCACCCCCATGCTACAACCCCAGGGCCACCTTCTCTTCTAGGCCACTCCTGACTTCACATGCCTCTATTGTGCTTTTCTTCATGCAGCTCCAAGGAATACAACAAAGAACTAAAATACATTGGTAAAACACTTTACTGATGTCAAAGCACCTTCCCCTCCATTATTTCATTTCTTCTCATGAAAGTACCATGAGGCCAGAGGGCAGTTCTAGTGACCAATTTTGTATAGATGACACAACTGAGACTCAGAAAAGCTGAGAGGTTTTCAAAAAGTTGCACAGCCAAAGTCTGGCAAACCTGGTCCTAGTACTTAGCTCCTCAGATTCTTATCACAGTTCTCTGCTTGGCCACACTAACAAACAACTTAACGATGCCTGCCTTCAACTGATTTCTAATCTTGGTATTATAAACTTTTCATACAGCTATGAAATGTTAAACATTAAGAAAACAACACAATACACCCCTAGACTGGGGTTCTCAGACCTGGCCAAGCCTCAAAAATGTGAAAACCACAGAAATCCAAAACTCCTAACATACCAAATGAGTTGGGATTACTCTGGGGCTGTGACTGGGATCTGTATTTTATAAAAAGTCCCAGAGGTGATTCTTATATGCAGGCAGAGATGAGAACCTGTTCCTGGCATTAATTACCAAGTGACTAATCCAAAGTGTGTGCACTGGGGGAAGACAGAAATGGGTGTGGGATAGGATGCCACAAAGGAGGGAGTTTGGGCAGGGCTTTGAAGGAATTTGGAAGGACAGTTGCACTGGCAAAGAGAGGAAGAGGTGCATTTCAGGCCAAGGGAGTAGGAAAGGTGAGACATGTTCAAGGAATTGAATATTCCTGAACAGAGGTGAGGTCTGAGGAATCAGAGCATAAGGAGGAGAGTCAGTGACCAATGTAGAGGATGAACTGAGAGGATAAGAGACAGGAGACTAAAGGTAGGGGCTGGAGCCCTCCCACGCACTCCAACAGTGCTTGTGTCCACAACCCTTATGGTGGGGCTCTTCATCTGGGGCCAGCTTGAGTAGCTGTTCGGCAATCTTCCTCTGAATTCCAACACTTGCCCTTCTCTTGCAGTTCTTATCTGTGTCTGCCCTGTGTTCTTATTACTCCCTTAGACTTTTGAGTTCCTTGATGGGTTTTGTTTCTCCTTCCATCCTCCAGTTGGTGATTCTCAACTGGGGGCAGTTTTGCCCTCCAGAGGCTACATTTGGTGATGCCTGAAGATATTTTTGGTTGTCACAACTGAGAAAGGGGATACTACTAGAATCTAGTGGGATGCTAAACTTCCTACAATGCACAGTTATACCAAAGAAGTATCCATCCCAAAATGTCAGTAGTGTCAATGATAAGGAACTCTGTCACAGATAAAGTGACAAGCATACTTAATTGCTTTATTAAGTTTATTAATTTATTATTAATAATTCACTCCTCTTTATTATGTTATTTAATAAATCTTTGGTGAATTATTATCTGAACAGCCAAATGAATGAAAAAATAGTTTGTATCTATCGGCCACTGTTGACTTCCAGATTGTTTTATTTTATAGATAACAAAGTTACAAATATCAAAACTGGGGAAACCAACATAGAATTGATAATTTTTATTATTGCTGCACATAGGCATTAAAAATAAAGCTATCAACTACCATAACTGTTACTTCATCAAACACATTTGAACAGAAAAATAGAATGATGTTAATAACAAAAATTACACTGGAAGGATATTACCAAGAAACGTCAGTAAAGCAGCCAATAGTTTAGGCTGGTGAAAAGTTCCCTTCAGCCAACCTGGACCACCATCCACCAACTTGGGAACCTCTGAATGAGATTACAAGCTCCTTCAGGGCAGGATTCCTCTCTTACAGATAGCCCTGGGTTTTTAATGCTAGGCAGTGCATGGCAGGATGCCAAGGCCCTCCCTGTGGCAGTGAGCACCACTGTGCTGCCCATCCTTACCTTGTATTCCAGGGAAAGCAGGGTCTCCGTCCTGGAAGTCCAGTTCCATTTGTGGACTACATAGCCCTGCTGGTCATTGGTGGTCCCACCTTCCTCATCCAAGACTAAGACATATGGGCAACTAGGAGAGATACAGAAGTGAGTAGCTGCCACCAGGCCCCTGAAGGAAGCTCTCATCAGTGCAGGCTGTGGCAGGTCTGTAAGGGCAGGCAGGTCTGTAAGACTTAGTCCAGGCTGTAGGAATAGTGCAGTCCTGCAGGCAGCCTCACTTTCCCCACCTGCTATGGTCTGAGGCTCTTTACCACCTGTTGATGCTACCGGAGGAGCCAAGTCTGAGAGAGATAATGAAGGCTCAGGTCAAAGCCAAGAGGGGAAGAAATGGAATTTGTGCTCTGTTGCCTAGTAGCCTGATTGTATAACGGGCACCAAGATGGGAAATGGAACACCTATAACGTAAGAGTAACTCATTTCTTCCAAGAACAGTTCCTTATGAAAACCCAGGCAAACCCAGACATGGTGGCTCATGCCTGTAATCCCAGCACTTTGAGGGGCTGAGGCAGGAGGATCGTTTGAGGCTAGGAGTTTGAGATCATCCTGGTCAACATAGTAAAATCTTGTCTCTACAAAAAATTTAAAAACTTATCTAGGCATTGTGGCACATGTCTATAGTCTCAGCTAACCCAGGAGGCTGAGGTGGAAGTATCACTTGAACCCAAGAGTTCGAGGCTACAGTGAGCTATAATCATGCCACTGCACTTCAACCTGGGTGACAGAGTGAGAGCAAGACCCTGTCTCAAAACAAAAACAAAAAAGAAAAGCCAGACAATATCAACCTTTGGCTAGGAATAATTTGCACTTCTTTTAAAAGATGCCACAGAAGTAATGTGTTCATGCCTCTCCTTCAACCACTCCTGGTATAAAACACTTTTTTCCACTAAATAATTCTTCCTTTAACATAACTAACAGTCAAGATCTTAGTGCTCTGGGGTACCAAGTGGAATAGGACTTGGGAAGTTGTCCTCATCATTAGCTGTGACACAGATACAGCAAGGAAGGGCTGAGCCTTAAAGTTCCTATGTCCCTACAGAAATAGCCTCAGCCCTGCCTCCCTGCCTTACTAGACCTCTAGATACTGCTTGGCTTCTTCTTTAACTAGGGACTCAGAGTCAACACCTCAGTCCTCCCTCCATCACCCTCAGAGGTAACTTCTGTGAGACTAGTATTCTCCCAGTCCACTTACCTGGTTTTTAGGTTGTAGTGAACATAGACCTGACCTTCAGCATTGAATAGGGCCAGCAAGGAGGAGCCAGGTATGTCATTAAAGAGGTAGGTGATGGTTCTCCCTCTGCAGCATGTGGGGATCTGACATATAGCGACATTTCCAGAGGGATAGCTGGCAGAAATGTTCAGGTAGAACTAACAAAAAATTTCCCTGGTTCTGCTCTCAGGTGTCCCATTGAAGCAAGTCCACATGTCAAAGTGTTAGCTATTTGGTGCATCATTCTCCATCTTCAAACACCCTCCTTGCATTTTGCATAAGCAACAATTATATGATTATGGAACCCAACGATGCCCTAGCTGCTTTTCTGTATCGTCTTTCTATTTTCTCACAACCACCTTGTGGTAGGTAGTATTATCTTCCTCTCACAGATGAGTAGGGTCCCCCCGGGTCTAATGGGTTTTCTGAGACATGGAACTTTCGGTATAAAACCTAAAAAGTCCTAGGTAAACCAGGATGAGTTGGTCACCCTATAGATAAGGAATCTAAGGTGTAGAAGATTATCTGCCCCATTTCACATCACCAAGAAGTGGCAGAGCCAGGATTTGATCGCTGAGGCCAGCAGTATTTCTAATGCTGTCAGGCTGCTCCCACTTCTGACCAATCAAGGAGGACAGGTAATGTCTCCTTGTTCATTTTCTAGTAAAGAGGGCCCAAGAAACACTGGTCCTGACTAAGGAAGACATGGTGTGGGCAGCCACTGTGTGTGGGAATTTCACAAGCAGTACCCCAGACAGAGAAGCATTTCAGAATGAAAAGCAGAGGAAAAGGAAACAAAGAAAAATGAAGATTCTCAGGGACCTAAGGGAGGCCATCAAGCATATCAACATATATATAATAGGAGTCCCAGAAGGAGAGAAAAATGAAGGTACGAGGAATATTTGAAGAAATGATGGCTGAAAACTCCCCACATTTGATGATATACATGTTTAAGAAGCTTAACAAACTACAAGTAGGACAAATTCAAAGATATTCTCACTGAGACACATTATAATCCAACCGTCAAAAGACAAATACAAAGAATGAATCTTGAAAGCAGCAAGACAAAAAAGACTCCTCATATATAAGAGGTCTTCAATAAGATTCATGACTGATTTCTCATCAGAAACCATGGGGTTTAGAAGGCAGCAATATGAAATATCTAAAGACCTCAAAGGCAAAAAATAAAACTGTTGGCCAACAATTCTATATCAAGCAAAATTATCCTTCAAAAATGAAGAAATTAAAACATTCTCAGATAAACAAATATCGAGGAAGCTAATCACTAGTAGACCTGCCCTACAAAAAAAAAAAAAAAAAAAAAAAAAAGAAAATGCTGAAGGGAATCCTACAGGCTGAAATGAAAGGACACTAGGCAGTGATTCAAACTCATACAAAGAAAAAAAGAACACTAGTAAAATTAACTGTATAAGTAATTATAAAATTCTGTATTCTATTTTCAGCATATTTTTTTCTTTTTTTCTTTATGATTTGAAAGATAAATGCATAAAAAAAAATTGCAAATCTATATTAATGGATACACAATATATATGTAAAATATAATTTCTGATAAAAACATAAAGGGGGACATATAGAACTATTTAGGAACAGAGTTTTATATACTATTGTGGCTAAGTTATTAATTCAAACTAGAGTGTTAATTATAATACCCAGGTATATTAGTTTCCTAGGGCTATCATAACAAAGTACTATGGCTAAAAGCAACATAAATTTATAATCTCACAGTTCCAGAGGCTAAATGTCCAAGATGAAAGTGTCAACAGGGTTATTGTTTGGAAGGCTCTGGCGAAGAATCCTTTCCTGCCCCTTACAGTTTCTGGTGGTTACCAGAAATCATTTGGTATTCTTTGGATTGTACATGCATCATTTCAATCTCTGCTCCAGTCATCACATGGCTTTCTTCTGTGTGTCTGCGTGTATCTGGGTGTCTGTTTTCTTTTCTTATAAGGATACCAATCACTGCAGTAGGGCCCACCCCAACAATATGGCTGTATCTTAAAAATTACATCTTCAGAGCCCCTATTTCCAAATGCAGTAATATTCTGAGGTTCCATGTGGATACAAATTTTGGGAGACACCATTCAACTCATTATACCAAGACAACCCTAGGGAAATAACTTAAAAATATGGAGAAAAGAAAATGAGAAGTAAATCAAAATAGCATGCTACAAAAGTCAGACACAAAAAGAGGAAGTAATGAAGAAACCAAGAAACAAAGATGCTATAAGACATATAGAAAACAAATTTAAAAATTAAAGAATTAAGTCCTTCTGTATCAGCAATTACTTTAAACAGATGTAGATTAAACTCTCTAATCAAAAAGTCCAGAGCTGAGGCATGAGAATCACTTGAGCCCCGGAGGTGGGGGCTGCAGTAAGCCAAGGTCGTGCCACTAAACACCAGCCTAGGAGATACAGCAAGACTCAGTCGCAACTTTAAAAAAAAAAAAAAAAGGCTGGCAGGATGAATTTTTAAAAACCAAAACAGGATTTAACATATGCTGTGTCTAAGAGACTCACTTTAGATCCAAAGACACAACTTGGTTGAAAGTGAAATGATGGAAAAAGATATTCTATGCAAATTGCAACCAAAATAGAGTAGGGGTGAATATGCTAATGTCATGCAAAATAGATGTTAAGTTAAACATTTTTAAAAGTGACAAAGAAGGACATTACATATTGAGAAAAGGGTGAATACCTCAAGAATATGTAACAATTATAGAGATATACACACCTAATAAAAGAGCCTTAAGATACATAAAAACCTGACAGAATTAAAGGAAGAAATAGTTCTACAAAAATAGTTGGAGACTTCACTACCTCATGTTCAATAATGCATAAAACAACTAGACAGAAGATCAATAAAGAAATAGAAGCCTTACGCCATATGCAGTGGCTCATGCCTGTAATCCCAGCACTTTGGGAGACCAAGGCAGATGGATTACCTGAGGTCAGGAGTTCAAGACCAGCCTGGCCAACATGGTGAAACCCCGTCTCTACTAAAAAAATACAAAAAAAATTAGCTGGACACAGTGGTGCACACCTGTAATCCCAGCTACTCAGGAGGCTGAGGCAGGAGAATCACTTGAACCCGGGAGGCAGAGGTTGCAGCGAGCCAAGATTGCACCACTGCACTCCAGCCTGGGCGAAAGAGTGAGACTGCAGCTCAAAAAAAAAGAAAGAATGAAAGAGAGAAAGAGGAAAGGAAGGAAGAAAGGAGGGAGGGAGGGAGGGAGGGAAGGAAGGAAGGAAGGAAGGAAGGAAGGAAGGAAGGAAATAGAGAACTTGAACAACCTTACTAACCAACTAGAACTAATAGGAACATACAGAATCGCACCCAACAACAGCAGAACACATATTCTTCTCACATTCACATGAATCATTCTCCAGTACAGACAATATGTTAGGCCACAAAACAGGTCTCGATAAATTTTAAAAGACTGAAACCATAGAAAGTATCTCCTTTGATCACAATGGAATGAAACTTGAAATCACTAACAAAAGAAAATGGGGAAGACTCACAAATACATGAGAATTAACACAAAAACAACAGGTGGATAAAGAAATCACAAGTAAAATTATAAAATACTTTGAAATGAATAAAAACAAAACAGTATATCAAAACTTATCAGAGAATGGCAAAGCAGCATTCAGAAATTTATAGCTATAAATACCAACATTAAAAGAAAAGAAAGCTCTCAAATTAATAACCCAATTTTCTATCTTAAGGGACTAGAAAAAGAAGAGCAAATTGAAGCAAAGCTAGCAGATGGAAGAAAACAATAAAGATCAGAGTGGAGAAAAACAGAATAGAGAACAGAAAAATAGAACCAACAAAACCAAAAGTTGGGTCTTTGATAAATTGATAAAGCACAAACTTCTAGTAGACAGATTAAAAAAAAAAAAAAAACAGAGAAAGGCTTAAATTACTAAACTCAGAAATGAAAGTGGGCCTTAAATAAAAAAATCCTAATACAATAATACAAACAGCTGTACACTATAAAGTTAGATAACCTAGATGGACAAATTCCTAGAAACACATAAACTACCAGAAGTGACGCAAAAAAAAAAAAGTAAAACAATCTAAATGGAACTATAGCAAGTAAAGAGATTAAATCATTAATGAAAAATCTCCCAACAAGAAAATCCCAGAACCAGATAGATTCACTGGTGAATTCTACCAGACATTTAAAGAATACCAATCCTCCTCAAGCTCTTCCAAAAAATAGAAGAGCAGTCCTGAACACTTCCCAACTCATTCTATTAGGCCAGGGTTATCTTGATACCAAAGCCAGACAAATACATAAAAAGAAAATTTCCCATATCTCTTATGAATATAAACATAAAATATATTAACAAAATACCAGCAAACCAAATTCAGCAGCATCAAAAGGATTAAACACTGTGACCAAGTGGGGTTTATCCCAGGAATGCAAGTATGGTTCAACATACAAAAATCAATGTAATATACCATAGTAATAGAATGGGGGGAGGGGAATCATGATCACCTTAATTGATGAAGAAAGAGAATTTGACAAAATTCAATACCCTTTCATGATTAAAAAGCACTCAACAACTTCAAAATAGAAGGGAACTCCCTTAACATATTAAGAGCCATATATGAAAAAACTCACAACTAACATCATAATCAATGGTGAAAGAATGAAAACTTTTCCTCTAAGATAAAGAACAAAAGAAGCAGGCCTGCTTTCACCACTTCTATTCAAGATTGTACTGGAAGTTCTGGCCACAGAACTTAGCAACAACAAGAAATAAAAAGACTCAAAATTGAAAAGGAAGAAGTAAAATTACCTCTGTTTGCAGATGACATGATTTTATATATAGAAAATTCTAAAGAGTCCACACAAAAAATCTAGAACAAATAAATTTAGAAAAGTTACAGATATAAGATCAACATACACAAAAGAGTTGTCTCCAAGAACACAGGATGTCTTTCCATTTATTTAGGTCTTCTTTAAATTAATTTGGCAATGTTTTGCAGTTTTCCGTGTACAAGTTCTGTACCACCTTGTTATTTATTTGTTCTCGGTTATACGGCATTTTGTATTGCTTGTTGCCAGTGCTCATATTGACTGGTGTGGCTCATCCTGTAAT